AACAGCAAGCTTGAACAGCAAACACCTTCACCCACTGAGCTGCCTCTGTAGCCTCAAACCATAAACACTTTAATAAACTATAAATTTTGCTGTGACAATAGAAAAGACCTTCTGTGCTTCCCTCAGGCTCTTTGAGCCCCTGATATCCTATAGCCTCATCACTGTTTAAGGGAAGGTTTATATAAGACAGCACGGCACTATCAGGACTTCTGTCAGGCTGTTCTTTTCAATACTTGGTTGTTCTTTCTCTGCTAAGAATGAGTCATCATGATTGTCGTTACTGAGTCTTGTCCCTCATCTACCTAGTAACTATCACCTCGTCTACCAGGAGCTCTGCTAGATAGCAGAAAACACATCCCACGCTCTCACGGAATACACGTTCCTAAAGAAATGTCCAAGTAACATAACAACAACAACAGCAGCAGTAATAAGAATAGCTGTAGAAGACCCCAGTTGTTCTGTTCCTCTTAGTATTAGTGGACGCTTGTGGTAGCTAAGCAACTGTCGCTCTCTCATGAACAGCAGTGCATGATGGGACAATAGGAGGAAACTGACTCATTTCCAACTGTGCTCACCATTACTCCTTTTACCCCAGCCGCACTGGCCTGGTTCATGCTCCTGGATCACGCTGGCCACGCACACTTTCCTGTCTCGGGGCTTTGCCTTTGCTCTTCTTTCTGCCCAGAACATTATCCCCTCAACATTGCCTCTCATACACTTTAGATATTGCTTATCAGAAAGGATTCACAGGCATAAAGAGATGGACTCATTGGTTAAGAGCATCTGCCGCTCTTGCACAGGATCCGGGTTTGATTCCCAGCACCCATATCAGGTGGCTCACAGCTGCCTGTCACTCCAGTTCCAAGAATCCAGTGCTGTCTTCTGATCTTTTGAGTAGCTGTACGCATGTGGCACACATATGTGCACAAACACATACAAACATCTTTTTAAAAAGAGAATTACCTTTGCCACTCCTTAGGTAACATCCCTGTAGGAGGAGCTAAGGTAGGAGGAGTAAGGAGAGGCAGAGGAGAAGGAGGAGGAGCCAGGGGAGAGGGAATAGAGAGAGAGAGAGAGAGGGAACATGGAAGCGGATGTGCATGTGTCTCTAACAGTCAAAGGTAGATGGTATATCTAGGTTGGGTATTGGGTAACACTTCTGATTGTGTGGGCATCTTGTTATTGAGCATTACCAAATATATACAGCCTTTGGATCATTAGAGTCTCATTTGTACCGAGCCCACCTGGATGGCGGGATGGTCTGGGCTCAGCCAAGCATTGTGGAGACAGTGTGGTAGATTGGCAGAGCCATCTCCCATGCTGGCATCTCGTGGGTGGTAGGGCTGGTGTCTCTGATCGCCTGAGCAGAAGGCCCAAGTTGAGCAGTGGCTGTAGTAGGCCACAGCTGCTCCTGGCTGCAGGCCTAGGCTAGTCGGGAACATGGCAGATGATTAAGAAAAGCCAGATTGAATGCCGCTGTTTTAAATGTCTCCCACAATACATCCCTCACACATCAAGGGCAGATCCTCCCTAGCGTGCACGCGTCTTCTAAATACTAAATAGACACTTCGGTTGTCATTTAAATTTATCCAGTTTCTCCCTAGAGGATAAGGTCATGAGGTCAGGGGTGGCAGTTTGAATTGTGACCGGGGCATTTCCAGACAGAGGAGATGCCAGCATAGAGTCTACCCTAAATAAGGATTAGCTCAAGAAATGGAGAATTTAGGACAAAGATGTTCTATGTGATAGGCTGCATTGAACAGAGGCCTCCCAACAAGGAGAAAGTAACAATGTTAACTGATAAAGCAGGAAATGAAACCTGCAGAGTGGGAGCCGAGATGGGGTCGTCTATATAATATATAAAAATCATATTCTGTAATAAAATTTGTAAAATATATATATACTGGTCCCCTTGAAATGCAGTGTTACTGAGGCATCACTGAAACTTGGATACAGTTTAAAGGATAATAAAACATTTACCAGACAATACGGCACAGGTGTATTATTGTTTTCATTCTTTATGCTAATCAAATACAATTATTATCAGAATATTATAAATCTAAAAATACATCAGTTTCTCTTCCCCCCAAAAGTAACTTATAAGAAAAAGAAAATCTTGAAAGCACATCTCTAAAGATTGCATAGCTAATGTCGCTGTTTCTGTGTGCTTTACATGTATTTTCATAGATTAGGTTTGTTCAAATGCATGCTTCTGTTGTTAGAAATAGTCACACGTGTGCAGCTGTGTGGAAGGATATTGGCACTGTTTAAGTTGATCACGTGGGTTCAGCAAGGGCGTGCTGCCTACCTGAAGGAGGTTATTCTGTATAGTTGAGAGCGAGAATCCAGCCAGTATCCCAGGAGTCAGCAGGAACGGTTTACTAACGTTACTAGCAAACACGATGTCTCAGAGGTAGACAAAAGCTGTCCTTAATTATTGTTGTCGTTGTCTGATAAGTGTGTATGTGTGAGGACACGTGTATGCCATGGTGCGATTATGGACATCAGAGGATGGCTTTCAAAGATGTTTCTTTCCTTCTACCATGGGATCCAAGGGTTAGAATCACTCTGGTCATGAGACTTGGGCCATAAGCTATCTTATCGACTGAGCTGTCCTGCCAGCCTCAGGTATGTTTGTATGGACACTGGAAGTGACTTTGTAGTTGACACACCCAAATTCCTCCTGTATCCTATAAAAGAGTGGCAAGTTTGTCAAGAGGATGACAGGTCTTTGCTACAAGCAAAGTGACCACATGGAGAAGCCATGAGGGAGGGTCCCAGTGACCACAGCTGAAGGACAAAGTCACGTTATGTCAAATGTGTGTATGCATATTCAAAACTTTCAAATAGTAAAAAGTACCAGCATTCTGAATGTCTTTTACAAATCTTCCTTGTAGCTTCAAAACGTGTTGCCAGACCCAGGCAGCTTCAAAGGATGCAATTATGTTCAGTATATTTGATTTTTTTTTTGAAAGGCACTGGAGTGTCTAATATAGTTCAGAAATATTTTTTGTAAAATGATTAAATTTTAAATGGTCTTGGAATTTAGAAACACCAGTTAGACGTTGTAAGCGGCTCATTTGAATAAGTCATTCCTTACAGATAGTACTTGTTATAGATTGGCTTTTAGAGTTAAAATACACATTCTATCTAAAGATGGTGTCTTTTAAGCACCCTGGCCAGCTCCAGGACTCATAGGGTCTCACTATGTGCCCCTGGCTGTCTCAGAACTCACAGAGATCCACCTGCCTCTGTCACCCAAGTGCTGAGATTAAAGACATGCACCACCATGCAGGGCTAACATGGATTGTTTTTTTTTTTTTAAAGGGAAAGGTACCTAATTATTTCATACATACAAAAAAATCAACTTAAAAATAAAAGCCTTATTCTCAAGAGAATTCACAGTGACGAAGGGGTCAGCTGAAACCACAAGCACACACTCCCTGTAGGAACATGGCAGGGTTGGTGGCCATGTTACTGCAAGCTCTCAGCATACACTGGCTCAAGTTAAGTCTCACACTCTGAAATTAAGAAAGAATATTGCTATTTTCTCTCTTTAGTCACCCGCAGTGAAGCCACTTATGGCTGTGGTCTGTCTGACAAAGTCCACGTTGCAGTGTGCGCCATGACAGCCCACAGGATGAACTAGGAGAGAGGCATGCATCTCTGCTGATCCTAAAAGTGTCAACAGACTTATCAAACATAGCCTTCAACTAGTTAGCTTTGTGTCATCAAGGAGTGTCTGTGAGCAACTTGTTCAAGGTGTTTCTGTAAAAATAAAGATATCATTGATATTTTAAATTAATAAAACACCACTTCTGAGTGAAGTCTCAGAGAGCCCATCAAGGGTCTTCCGAGAGTCCCTGAGTTTCCTGCAATTATTTGACAAATAGTATGAATGTGTTTTTTTATTTTCAGGGCAAGGAGCCAATATTCTTTGTCTATTTTTAGTGTCTGGGACAGTCTCCATAAAAAAGGTTCTCCAGTGTGACAACCACTCTTGGGAACAGCAGCAGAGCTGGTGAGAGCACCATTTGACGTGGCCTCATCAACTTTCAGGACAGTAGGGGCCACTTGTTTAAGCATGTTTTGTTTTTATTTTAAGACAGGGATTATTTATTTGGCTCAGGTTAGCCTGGAAGTTTATGTATCCCAAGATACCCTCAAACACACTCTCCTCCTGCCTCAGCCTCCCCGTGCTGGGATTACAAGCCGGGGCCATCATGGATGACAACCATTTCTCTTTTTTTAACCCCATATTTCCAGCTAAAGATGATCCAGATTGCCTAGGACTTACAATAAGTGCGGATCAATGGAGAGAGATTATAGGTATCTCTTTGAGACAGGCTGTCATACTGAGCAAACCTGGAACAGTAGCCAGCAAACCCTGATGTTCCTCCTGTCTTGGGTCTCCCTCTCATGCCAGCATACCTTGGGATACAGACATGCATGACCACAGCACCTCTTTTTACATGGGTGCCGGGATCAGAACTCAGGACCTCAAACCTAATGCAGCAAGTGCATTTAATCAGAGCCATCTCTCCAGACCCCACCTTCACTTTCTGGTGAGCTTTTAGAATTCCTACCTCTCGGTTCTGGATAGCTACATTTCTGTAACATTGTTAGCTTGTATCTTTTCATCCCCGCAGTGGTGGTCTCTTTTCTTTTAACATACCTTTATCAATCCCTACTAATACTCAAACTCTTAAGAGACCTGTGATGTGGCTCTGAATGAAAAGCTTTGTTGGGATTTCTGCGTGAGTAATTTCACAATGTACTGATTGAGCTCTAACCCTGTGATGAGAAGAATAAATCTAAGTTTATTTAAATACCACCCAAGTTTGAGGCCACCACGTGAACCAGAAGTATATCAAAATAATCACAGGTGAACTGGGCTTGTAGTCAAGGAAATACTGACTGTGTATGGTGAATGTGTATGTCGGATGACAAGAACTCCAGCCAGAGTTCACCTTTGACATGTTGTTCTTTTTCTTCCGCAGCGATTGTAGTGAGATTTCTGACCAAACGGTTCATCTGGGAATACGATCCAACCCTCGGTAGGTAACGCATTGTATCCTTGCCTCCCCCTCTCACAATATGCTCATGACCCTCAAAAGAGGACCCTGGATAAGCCCCTTTCGGCTGTCTTGGAAGCATAATGTATATGTGGTAAAGCATAAAGCCCTCCTAGAGGCCATCAGTGTGCTGCATCCTGTGCCTCGAGCCCTGCAGGACTCAGTGCAAAAATGAAGAAGTTACATTCATCCCAGAGAAGATGCAGATGGGTCAATAGGATGCTGTCTCTCCCATTCAATACGCAGCTTCATCCTTCTGGGAGAAAGGCTAACACAGGCAGCATTTGGGGTGGGACGAAAAGGTATGCTGAAGAGAAAATCACTGTAAGATCAAACATCTGTGCACGAATGCAGGGCAAATGTAAACAGAAATCTTGCCATGCTCCTTTAGTTTCCAAAGATTAGACCAAGTGGTGTTTATGGATAAAGTAGGCAGAAATAGTGTTTATGGATAAATGTGGGGAAAAACTACTCTTAGGCCCTTGTGTTCTAATATTTTTCAATTTTTTGATTGTGTGTGTGTGTGTAGGTCAGAGGACCACTGACCGGAGTTAGTTCTCTCCTTCACCATTGCAGTCTCAGGGATCAAACTCAGTTCCTCGGGCTTGGCAGAAAGCCCCTTTTGCCCACTGAGCCATCTTGGCAGCCCCACTGTTTTGATTGTATACTTCTTAGTGCACATTCACTGTACACACTACTGAGTTTCACGTAGCCAATTTCCTGCAAATGTATCATGGAGGGGATTGCACATTCTGCTGAAAAGGAAGCTTGCCTCTTGCACTTTGAGTATTTCCACCATTCATTCGGCCTCTGTTTAAGAACTTCCTTCCCTGCATTTTCCCCGTGCTTCAGGTGCTAAAGATGAAGCAGTTATCCGACTCTGATCCGGGGGTAAGGAGTGTGGTCTTACTTATACACATAGGGGTCAAAGGTTGGGTGTCTTTTTCTATTTCCAACCTATTTTTGAAGACAGAACTTCTCACTGAAACCTGAAGTTTACCATTTCTGCTAGAGTGGCTGGACAGTCCCCAGGATCCTACATCTGGTCCCCCCCCTCCATCATCCCCAACCCCCGTCCCTCAGCATTGTGCTTTTATGCCTGGGTTTTTATGTGAGTTCTAGGAATACAGTCCCAGGTCTACACTTGACCCACTGAGCCGTCTCCCCACATCAAGACTCTGCTTTTTTGACCTTACAGTCTAGAAAAGAGTCGGAGAATAATCGACCACAGTGAATCTCTGACAGGAGCTGACGGGGAGTGAGGAAGGGAGAGAGGGCCCTGTCGACTGCTTCCTTTAGTGCTCCCCTTTAGAGTCTATCTGCAACTTACTTCCTTATTTCAGTGAGGGGGAGGCGGCGACGACTAAGTACTTGTTTGTGAATCATCCATCAGATTTCCTGTCATTCGTTACACTGCTCCGACATTCTCATGGGACTTCTGAAGCCATCTTCAGATACCGAGTAATTTTTAGTTAGATGCAGTTTAAATATCCAATGACATCCTCCTTTGTTTATGTAATTACTTATTTCTCTTTATTTTCATCGTGTGTGCTATGTCTGTGGCGGTCGCTGCCTGGGAACAGTTCACAGAGGTATATACAGTCCATTGAACAGACTCCCCCAGACTCTCCCTCTGCCCAGTGTTTTATTTTAATCACCTCTGACTCTTGTTAATTCCCTCCACTCCTCTGGACAGCTCTGCCTCTACTCTGGTGCCGTATACACTTACATGATTTCAATTATCTATATAAAACGAGTGAACCACAAAAGAGGAAAAAACCGTATGAGATCTGTCTCTGAAGGGGCTTTAATTTTTGCTGATTACAGTCATCTGCCATTGCATCCATTTTCCTGCAAATGTGGTATCTCTGCTCTGGTGGATGAGTGATGAGGTTCCTGTGTGTACCCAGTTCCCTCATCTGCACTTCCATTGCTGGACACCAAGCATGCTTCCATAACTCAGTCACTGTGGAGAGCAGTGTGCTCCTCCAGTCTCCACACCGTATCGTGATGGATGGGAACGGGCATCTTCCACCTCCGCTCTCTGACAACAGCGTGTTGGCTGCTCTCTGTGGTGCATTTCTCTAGGTCGATTTCAGAGTCTGTGATAGTGTGGCATGACTGATTGGAACTGGCTGAAATCATAAATTATTTTTGAAGGCTCAAATCTTTATTATATTCAGGAGTCTGATATATCTCCACTTTAGCAGACCCTCTTCTTCTGCCTGTGCTTTTAAAAAGACTATTACAAGTGACTTTGTTAGTAAATACATAATTGTAATTTTCCAGATGTGTATCTGGATAGAAATAACACCAGATACCTCTGGGAAGATTCAGGGGAAAAAGTAAAAAGTTATATGCCAAGATATGAACACTAGCTATTGAATGAGATGAGAATTCAAGGTGATGTTTTCTGATTTTGCTTATTTAAATATATACCTTTCTAACACAAAACAGGAAAAGAAACTAAAAGAATCCCACATTTGGAATACCATATTTCCCTGGCTTAAGTATAAAAGGAAGGATTAAATTTAATTTCAAATTTCTAAAATTATTTTATAGGCATGCAGTATAGAATAACTCTGTCAGTAGGAAAATGCAAAGAGTACCTTTTGATAGATGACTCATTTTGATCGATAACTTTCTTCCCAGTATATTCTCTGATATTACGTAAGGACTAAGGAGAAGAGAATTATTTCTTGAGAAAAGATACTTTTAAATATTTTGTTCATCAGATTTCTCTCAGCATACTTACAGGTATAGCAGTACTCTGGGTTTGAGGTCATTTATCTGGATGCAAAGATGAACCTTGCTTTACAAAGGAGCAATTATCTATTGTCTTCCCCGACTATGTAAATGCTCCCTCTCGTATTTTTCTCATTTGCATATGTTTTATAGTGATGATCTGATACTTTCCATGATTCATAGGAATCTGGTTAAAAACTACTTATCCTCTGTCCTATCTACATATAACAACAAAAGATGAAGCTTACAAAAAAAAAGTCGTGACATCTTTAACTCTCTCTGGATGTGTTCTAGTAACTGATGTTACTATTTTCAATTAGTCTTTGGTGAGCTCTTTTCCTTTCATCTCATTCATATGGAAGAGAAACAGCTATAAATAGGAATGAGTCTGAATGGCTATCTGAAATGCAAGCATCCTTGCCTAGGAAGCAGGGTACTGCACAGAGTGACCTTGAGCTGTACCTATCAGAGAGGACCTGGCTGCTAAGCAACCAGAGCCTTCCTCCACCTTCAGGAGAAACAGATGTGTGACTCATTGGCAGATGACGCTATCATTAGCTCGCACACTGGAGACTGGATCTGTGTGGGCATGAACACTGAAAACCTGTTAATTTTCCAGCACTTAGGAAACCTCAATTCATAGGATTCAAGAGAAATTAGCAGTTCTTGGGCTTAACTTCCTACTTCCATAGGAAAAGACTGGATCTTCATGTAACTCGTGGTTACTTTACGAGTTTCAAACAACAAAGATGGCTACATTGCAAAGCAGAGTGGTGTGTTTGTGATGGAGGAGGAGGAAGGTGATAGGGAGCTTGCCTTCTTGAATTCTGACTTCTGTACCTTCCTCAGAACTTGAGGAAGTGGGTCTCCTGATTTTGGACTTTTGTACTCGTTTCATGAGAAGCTGGAAATTACGAACACCATCCCGCATATCGACAGAACGGAATAGTTATTGCTCTGAAGCAATCCTATAAAGAAAACACTTTTTTCTTTGCCTTAGTTTGGTTTTTCTATTGCTGCATTAAACACCGTAACCAAAAGCAACTTGGTGAGGAAACAGTTTATTTAGCTTACGTGTCCCAATTACAGTCCATCCTGAGGGAAGCCATGGCAGGACATCAAGATGAAACTTGAAACAGAAACCTTCATCATGGCTTGCTCAGCTGTCTTTTTAATACAGCTCAGACCACCTAGAGACAACACCATCCAGTGGGCTGGGTCCTCCTATATCAATTGGCAGTCCAGAAAACGCCTCATGGACATGTCCATGAGCCAATCTGATGGAAACAGTACCTAAACTACGATTTCTTTCCAGGGACAGCTGGGTTTGCATTTAGTATACCAAATCTAACCAGCATACTGTTACAGTGGCCAGTGAGTGCAGGCTTCTTAATTTCCAGCCCTGTGTTTTCCTTATCTGTTTTTGTTGCTGTTGTGTTATGTTGAACTAGTTTATGAAAGGATCTATCATGATGATTTTAATTAAAGGTATAAGCAAGGGGAGAGGGTAAGCGAGGGGAACTGTATCCATTTCACAAAGAGGGATTTTTTTTTAAAATTCAAGTGTTCTGAAAGATGAAGTCTCAAAGTACCACAGTCGTTTATATGGAATGATTTTCATTTTCCTGAAACCTTTCTCATCTCACCAGTAGATTCTTTGCCAGAGTTCAGCCCTGGTTTGTTAGTAACATGGAAAATTACCCCTGAAGCTCATCAGATTTGGGATGTGGCCCATTTAATCAGGAAGTAGCAACTGTGATGGCTGGAGGTTGATTCTGGCTGTGGACTAAACAGAATCTGTAGATGTCTAGTCCCAATCAAGAGTTGAATCCCTGCCTTCTCGAGTCATGTTACCCTCCAGGAATGTTTTCAGACACAAGAATACAGAGTAAGGCTTCCAACACACAATCGGGGGTGTGACTCTGTGTGACCCTGCTGATGTGTACACATTGGAGGCCTGGAGAGAGGAAAGAGCGCTTCTTTGTGTCAAGTACTCCTCTCCTGGGACAAAGATGTTGTTGCACATTGTGTCTGAATGACAAGTTAATGTCCTTATACACAGTAAAGCTGAGCTAGGAGTCAGGGAACAAGTCAGAAGACATAACAAACCCACGGGCTTCCTGACTCTGTGCTTGATTCATCTTGCCTACCTTGGAGTTTCTTCTGCTTGAAAAGGCTCAAGCAGAGAGACAGGGTCTCTCAACTGGGTGCTGAAGCAGAAGTGCTCAGCCACACCTTAGAGCTACTTAGTAACAACATGGCAGGAAAATGGGAGGTAGTCATGCGATGAACAGGGTCAGAGAAGTGACGCTCCATCTAAGACGACATAACGGGTCTGCAGCCAGGCCAGCAACAGAGCTCAACTCAGAGCGAATCCCACTCGGACATAAAGCCATGCGGCTAACTGCTGCTGTGATAGCACTGGCCACGTGACCGTACTGATGTGTTGAAATGTGCAAAGAAGCTAACTCGGTCCAAGGATTAACCATATATAAACAGCTCTGAGTGTTCAACCTTGCCAGCGTGTACAAAACGCATGGCTGTTTACAGAAATGTCATGGAATGCGTGCTTTTCAAAGGTCTGTTTTCATTACTAGTAGTTATGGGTTAGGCAGAGTGGAATGTGCTCATGGGTTCAGGTGTCTGAGGCTGGAGGCATCTGGTTGACCTGGAGAGGAGGTTGTCAGCTGCTGGAAGTAAGGGTTCAATGTCAAACTGGGGTCCTCTGGAAGAACAATATACATTCTCAACCACTGGGCCACCTCCTCTCTAGGAATGCATGTTTTAAGTCATTTTCCTTCATCCACAGGGATCTAAAAGATAATTTTAATATGCCTAATTCAATTATGAAACTCATGTTTGTTTTTAGAATAGACCTTTTTGAGTGCATCTGGCCATAGATCTAATCAAACATACTCACAGTGCTTCAAAGAAAGGACTGAGGCTACCACTCCTGTTAGAATAGAGAAAGTAGAGAATATGTAAACAGTCCAAACACATGTGAATCTTTTTGATTTTTTTTCTTCTGAGACAACGTCTCTGAATATCCCCAGCTGTCCTGGTACTCATTATGTTGACCAGGCTGGCCTCACCACACCCAACTTTGCTTTGAATTTTAAAATAAAAAGTAGAATGTATGTGTTTTGTTAGAATCAGCTCACACAAGGTCACTGGCTCTTGAGGGAATATTTCCATTACCTTGCATGTAGAGAGAATGAGTTCATAAATGACAGAAAGACACATGAACGAAATATGCTGAGAGCAGTGTGAGAACAGTATTCATTTTGGAGAAAATCAGTCCAGCACCCGCTGCTGTGTCTGTAGCAGACATTTCCTCATTTCCGGCATTTGATCTTTTTCATTTCATTAACAAACAGCCAAAGATTCACAGAACTTCATGCAAGTTTCATTCTGTTTTGCGCCCCCACCACACACCCACCATGGAGGCTTTTGCAGCTGAGACCCACAGCCCATTTGTCACGGGAGCACAGAGAACAATATCCTTTCCTCTGGGACAAATTTTAGTGCAAAGAGATGGATGAGAGCCGGGGCTTCTGTTTTCCAGGCTGCAGGGTGGATGCCAGTCATTTTTAAAGGGGAAGTCAATACAAAAGGCACAGAACAGCCTAGGGGGAAGAACACAGAAGGGCGTGGATGCCTAGTATGTGTGCTGCCTGCTGGGCTTCTTCTCAGGCCCAAAGACTCAAGAAGAAGCAAGGGAATTATTGAGAACACATTTGGAAGCAGTAGCTTCTGTAAATGGCATTTCAGAGCATCCGGTCCCAGAAAGCCATACCCTGTCGCTTAGCATAGAGGAAAGTGTGGTACTGAATATTCTTCAGATGAGAATCCTCATGTATGGCTGAGTTCCAGCAGAGGGACAAGATGCAGAAAACATTTATCCACGCATGGTGAATATAGTCTTGCTTTAAAATGACAACTTTTCAGAAGAGGTGTGAGCTGTACAGGTTCCTGTGGTGAATGTTCGCGGTACTAATGCCACCTGGATGGCCATTGCAAGCTTCCTTTTTGGCTTTTGTACCTTAGATAGACAATTGTTCACAGCAAGAAAGTAGGACAGTAGTCTCCAAAGACTGCAAAGTACTCTAAGGAAGGAAGGAAAAAAAGAAGGAAGGAAGGAAGGAAGGAAGGAAGGAAGGAAGGAAGGAAGGAAGGAAGGAAGGAAGGAAGAAAGGAAGGAAGGAAGATAGGCAGATTGATCATTTGTTAGGATGGTTGGTCAGTCAGTCCAGAAGATAGGGAGGATGCTGAAGAACAAACAATATAAGTGCTGGTTTCTAGTCTGGTCCCCAAGAAAGACAACTCCAGTCTTGTTTGGTTAGATGCTTGGGTGATTGGTACTCAGAAATACCCAGTTAGTAACTGTGTTAGATGGCCTGCTGTCTGTCCAATCCCCTTAATGGAAAATGTTTGAGCCTACAATTTTCTTCATCTTCTGTTTTCTTGTTGTTGCTTTTGTGCTACCTGCTAGCAGGGTTGGCACGTGACCCGCATCGCGATGGCTGTCTGCCAGTTCTCTCCTTGAATCATTTCTTGTTTGTTCTGGTTTCCTACTCATAGAATTGGGTATTAGCTCATGGTTTCTCGTTGTCCCCTCTCTTTTGTTACTGAAATGTTTGTTAGTTAATCTCACCTTTGATGTTTGTCTCCACTTCACCCTGGAAGGACACAGGAGAATCATCTAGAATTGCAATGCTGGATTGCTTCTAATACAGGTGTGTAGCATGTAGTTTTAAGAAACGAATCACGCTAAATCTGGCTAATCGCTGGCCTTGGCGGTCTAGCCCACCCCATGGCCAGCCCCAAGCAGCCATCTTGCCCTGGTTCCCATGGCCAGCCTGCTACCAAGCCACTCTGGTCAAAAACCTGCTGTCTCTGCTTGGTAGGCTGACTGAACTAGCCTTTCCTGAAATGCCTGAAGCTGTTCAATTCAGCTCTCCTTAGCCCCCGTGAAGGAGGGATCTGCATTATCCCATCCCATGCATCTGCCGGGAGCCTTTCTGTTTTGGGTTACCATTCTTCACCACCCACCAAACACAAGCTCAGCCACCTGCCTCTTACCGTCTCAAAGTCCCCAGTAGTTTTACACCATGTGCTCAGCCTATTACAGTCTTTGGGTCTTGGTCAGATTTGGGAGCTGTTGTTGTTGTTTTTGTTTTGTAAGTTTAAAGAACTAAAACTCAGGAAAAGCTTGATTGTAACAGGTAGCAGTAGGAAATCGGCCAGTGAAGAATGGCTTTTAATTAGAGGTGAGGAAACATCCGGAATGCAGCAGACATAGAGAATGATCACCTACAATGCAGAGGCGGGGTTTCCTCCCATCATTTAGGGTTGGTTAGTTTGAACAAGGATAGGATGCTGATCTCCCCACAGCTGTTACATAAGCGTGTCCTGATCCGACTTGTCCTGTCAGACCCATCATTGCCCCACTGGTGAGAGAGGAAGAGCCTTTGTTGTAAGCTCCTAGACTTCTGCCTAAGGTCAGGAGGGAGAGAAAGAAGCTGGCCATGTTGAGAAGAAGCAATCCATCTGGAAGTTCACCAGCTTTTTCCATCTGTCTGACATGACATCTGTCTAAGTACCAGCCTCTCCATCCTGCCCATCCTCCTCTGATGCCAAGGGTCTTTGCACGGTTGAAGTTAGGAAGAGACACAAAAGGTTTTTATGTTAAAAAATTACTTTTAGAAATATCAAGGCAGAAATGTATTTTGTATGGAAAATGCCTCTTTCGTCTTATAATGTAGAAACCTTGTCTAATTTAAGTGGAAAAGAGTGCTGGGGGCTGGCCTCACAGAACAAGCTGCAGCTCGAGGAAAGAATAGAGAGAGGATCAAGCAGACGGCCAGCTCAAGGTCTGGTGCTCAGAAAGCTCTGTAGAATGTGATGCTCTTCCTTTGTCCATCTGTCCTTCATTCTCTCTTCCCTGGACAGCTCCCTACCCCACCGTGGCCCCACTCTCCAGCATTGCTACGAAGGCAGGAATTCTCCTCCTGTGCCTAATTTCTCACTTCAAGGATCAAATTAAATCTCACATGTGCCTTTCTCATTCTCTTAGAATCAACCTACCGACACCAGGCAACCATAGATGATGAAGTTGTTTCTATGGAGATCCTGGACACAGCTGGTCAGGTGAGTCGGAATTCATCCAAGTCTTTACTGTTGAAATAATTAATTAAAATCGGCCTCTGGTCAAGCCAACTATCTAAGCTGCAGCAGCTCTGCCTAGCTTAGCCGCCATGTTTTGTGGCCAGAGGCCATGTACGCACCGCAGCTAAAAATGGCCAGCCAGAAACACCAGGCCTGTCACCCACGAGACGTTAGTGTGGGAGATGGCTCTGCCAATCTTCCACACTGTCTCTGCAAGGTTGGGCATTGCCATCCATGCGGGCCCGGTAGAAAAAATGAGACTCTAATGTTTAAAGATTAACCAAAGGCTTTATATGTTTGGTAATGCTCAATAACAATATGCCCATACAAAGAGTGTTGTTTCCCGATTAGCTAATCTAAATAAAAGTTGTTACCTGTGACTGCTCCCCATACCTGCGTGGCTCTCCATGGCTCCTACATCTCTGCCTCTCTAACTCCTCCTCTTCCTTTTCCTCTTCCTCTCCTAACTCCTCCCACCTTAGCTCCTCCTACAGTTTACTGCATCAAATAAAAAAGAGATATGTAAAATATGTATAATATGTATAATGTCTAAAATAACCTCACGAACATATTTTTCTAAACATGACTTTTACACGATTAAAAACTCACATATCCCATTATCTAGCCACTTTATAATGAATATGTAATTTGATCCTTGTGTAAGCGACCCTGTGCTTTAAGAAGTTACTGGAAATAAGTAGTCACAGATCATCTAGGGTAGGCTCTCTTTTTGTGTTTGGGGAACTGGGGTGCCAATGCCTTCAAAGGTTTTTATAACAAAACATGTTTTTGAAATGCTCAGATGAATTTAAATAAACACCTCTATTGAAAAGAATCATTAATAGCCTCGTGTGCAAGGCAAGTCTCTGAGAGAGCCTTGGCCTGCATTCCAGTTCTCTGTGACCACCACACAGAGGCTGGTCTGTGTGCTGCATGCCACATTATGTGGAGAGAGACATCCTCTGCAATGCATGCCTGCAAATTTCCTTTGACATGAGTCAGATCGTATCTTACAAAAACAGTTAAGTCTTAGTTCCCAAATCTAGAAATGACCATGGGGGTGATGGTTAGATGGGCCAGGCATTTCTGTGGTACTATAACAATGGCCTGTGGCCTTCAAAGGGACTTGAATTAAAGTGTTTAATCAAAGAAATGCTCCTGGAAGTAATTATAACCCTTTCTTTGCCATCTCTCCCTCCTTACGCATGGGCCTTCATACGGTACTGAGCATGTCTCTAGAAGACAGTTGAACCTAAGGAAACAACACTTTATTCTCTCTCCTTCCCTCTCATCTCCTCTTCCTCTTCTTCCTCCTTTTCTTCTTCCCCCTCCTCCTCTTCTTTCCTTTCCTCCTTCCTTCTTTTCTTCTTCCTCTTCTCTTTCTTCTTATCCTCTACCTCTCACACTCTTTTCTCACACAAAGTGTCTCATCATCTCACGATATAGCCCAGGCTAGCCTTAAACAGGACATCTTCTTATTTCTGCCTCCCAAGTGCTAGGATCTCAGGTGCATGTCCCTCCAGACCCAGCCAGCAACACCTTCAAACTGCGTTCTCCTCTCATGGAGGAGCAGCCACCCCTCTGACAGTCAGTACAGGAGAAGTTTTATCACCACTAATTGATGTATAACACAGGTTAGAACGTTGGGATGGGGGATCCTAGTCCTCGAGCTTTAAAGGTAGATTTTATATAGTTTATTAATTTTTTTCTATTCCTATAGGGTTATCAATGGTTTATAAACTGAACAAGGCTATTGAGACGAATGTTAGCTGTACTTACCTTCTAAACTAATTAAGAAAATAAGTTCATCCAGGAAAACAGCCAAGACGTTTAATAACAAACGGATACAAGCGATGCAGTTAAGGGATTAGTAGGCAGTAACAGTGTACACTTTGGGATTAGGCCCAGGTCTTCTGATTGCAGGAGACCCTTGGTCCTGCCAAGATGTACTGAAAAGCCGGAAGGCCTTCCTGGTTCTTCTTTGGCCCCTCTAACCACAGCCTAGATATTCTACTTCTGATTCTGAGTTTGAGGAACGTTAGGATTTCTCATAGGTCCCGATCCACTAAACGCTGGGAAATTCTCGACCTTTTTCTTTGCCCACAGGAAGACACCATCCAGAGGGAAGGGCACATGCGTTGGGGAGAAGGCTTCGTGCTGGTCTACGACATCACGGATCGAGGGAGCTTCGAAGAAGTCCTGCCGCTGAAGAATATCTTAGATGAAATCAAAAAGCCCAAAAACGTAACTCTCATCTTGGTCGGAAACAAAGCTGACTTGGACCACTCCAGACAAGTGAGTACAGAGGAAGGGGAGAAGCTGGCTACGGAATTGGCGTGTGCGTTTTACGAATGTTCCGCCTGCACGGGAGAAGGGAACATCACGGAGGTATTCTATGAGCTCTGTCGAGAGGTGCGCCGCAGGAGGATGGTGCAGGGCAAGACGAGGCGCCGCAGCTCCACCACGCATGTCAAGCAAGCGATTAACAAGATGCTCACCAAAATCAGCAGTTAGAGGCCCTGCCAAGATGTGCTGGAAAGCGGGAAGGCCTTCCTGGCTTTGCCCCTCTAACCACAGCCAAGATATTCTACTCCATATTCTGAGTTTGGGGAACGACAGGGTTTCTCGTGGGTCTCAATCCACTCTATGCTGAGAAATTCCCGAGTGTCTCCTGCAGTCCCATGCTGCAGACAGTCTCTATCTTCCCTGCTTGTGCTTAGGATCCATGCTAATGTAGTTTGAAGACGTAACCACCAAAGTCTCTGAAGTGGCTGGGTCGTGGAAGCTAATTGTAGACATCTCTGCCCTGCTTAAATAAGCTGAAGCCTTTTCAAAGGCGTTTTAAGATTCTGTATCTTGTGGAAGACTACAAAGGTCACCGTAAGGTTTTGTGATGTCTGCTGAGAACTTGAGGAGGGTAGCTGAGCGATTAGAATGAGGAACAGAATTCCAGATCCCATTTGAAGTGAGGATTTTTTAGTTGTTATTATTATCTTACTTAAATTATGCTGTTTTTCTTTAACACTTTACTTTTGGTTTGAAATGTTATCACTGACTTTGGTTTTGTGATGCAATTGCCCATTTCAGTGCGAGTCGGTTCGCTCAATATTCTGCCCCAGTCCTCACACACACTATTCTATTATTTTCTTAATAACGAAAGAGATGAGATCTACAATTCATACCCTGCTGTGGGTTTGCTCCCCCAAGCCTAGGTGATAAATAAATAAATAACAAACCCACCAGGAATCTTTGTACCAAAGCTTGACTTCACTGCATGTTAGGGGATTTGCAATTAGAGACACCTGGTTTGTATATTACTCTATTAGCACCTTAGCGGGAAGGTGACCCTCTAAATAAGAAAATTATGACGCTTAGCTATTCCTCTTTGGAAACCAAGGCAGAATCCCATGTAGTCAGAGAGAGCCAGCCTCTGATTCAGTAAGTTGGCCACATGCCTTCGTAACCTTTTCAACTTTGAGTAAGATTAATTCCCATGGGAGAATTCAGGAAAATAATGGGTGAGTAAACTTCACTATGCCTGAGCGAGTGTGTATAAAGTAGATGCTTGGCTGGCAAAAGGATTATGTAACTGCCAAGAGTTTCTGATCCTTCTCTTCGTTTCCTGCCCCATATACTGAGATCTGGGCACTTTATTTTAGAATAAAATATATATCTTTTACAATGTATGTATTTATATGTACACATATAAGTATGTATAAAATTTGTAAGCATTGATGGTTTTAATTCACCAACGTATTTGAACAATCTGGTGTAACTGACTTCGTTTTATGTGATTATAATAAAAAAAAATATAATTTTCAAGTTCTGCCGGAATTCTTTTGCGAATAGTTTGTGAGTTCAGGGAAGGTTTGGGAAGCAATTAGATTTCAGAAGGAAAAGCTAATGAACTCGATTTGAAAAGAAATCATCTCCTGCTAATAATAGTAGACTACTCAGACCCTTTATTCCTTTTCTCGGCTAATTGTTACAATTAGTCTAAGACAGTAGTGCTGTGATCACCGTGTAGAAGTAAAACTGTTAAGCCAGATGGGAAAGGAAGTGATGTCACCAAGTCTAGACTTGGGTTAGGTATGGTGGGTTAGAAGGCAGAGCCAGAACATTAACTGAGAAAGTCAGAGTTGAATTTTGCTGTCCACACGATTAACTTGCTAGGCAGCTCTTAGCCTGGATTGCAGGGGTGAAGGTGCAAGATGAAGTGATTAAGAAAGAACTTGCCTTCTTTATTCCCTAGTTGATCCATTCACTGTAAAGATGCTTACATATGCTGAACATACAGTCTTATGTAGCCCGTTTGATGGCACAGGACCCACATTTAAGGACTACATTAGAACAGTCTAGAAGAAAAGGTGAAAATCTTCTAAGTCGTAGAAACGGCAGGGAATGAAAATACGGATACCCGAAAGGTGGTGATGAATGCAGACCCCTATAGGAGATCCGAGGGCCACGTGCATCATTTCTAGAGGAAGAAGTTGGTGGGAAAGCTGAAGAATTCAAAGTGAGCAGAGGGTAGGAAGCAAGTCAGAAGTCACAAACTCTTATTCCAGCAAGAATACCTGGAGTGAAGTGAGTGAGGTCCTGCCGTGGTGATTTCCTTTCAGGAAGCTCACTGGACGATCCAAAGGGCATAAGGGGCATTGCTGTTTGGATCTGTTACCTTCAGAAAATGTAGCTCAGCCAGTCCCTACTAACAACAAACTCCTAAGGTGGTGGAAACTTGAATGTCCTTTTTCAATCAAAAATTGAAAGATGACTCAGCAGTTAAGAGCGTTTGCTGTGATTGCAGAGGCTCTGGGCGTTTCCTCAGCACCCTCGTGAAGATTCACTAGGGCCCATAATTTCAGTTCCAGTGGATCCGGCTCCCTCTTCTGGCCTCCAAGGGCATTACACATCTGTGTATAAGTGCATACACCCAGGCCAGCACTCAACACATAAAGTAAAACAAGCATAACAAAACTAAAGAAGTCACATGTACAACCAGTCTAGTAACCACGCTAGACCTGGGCATGTAAATCCATGCAAAAGTAAAAATCCCAGCTTTTGATTCATGAACACTCGAGTATACTGCTGTAACTCAGTTACTCCTCTTATAATCCAGGCTTCTACACAAATAAAGATTGTTTAAAAAAAAACCTAACACTACCAGTTGTTTGGAGGGCTAACTTCATTTTGATGAATGCTAGCAATGCAATATTTATTTACTGGAGTAAGGATGGAGTCCTTTCTTCCATATCAAACGCATGTCATTCACGTAGCCACAGTGCAGTGAGCCCTGTTTATTTTCATGTATTACATTACTAGAAAGAACTTCTTCCCAGTGGTAGAGTAGATCCTGAGCGCTCATTGAGATAAAAGACAGAGTTTAAGGAGGCTAAGTTCATCAGAATCTGTGGCCCAACAGATCGGCTAAGCACTGACAGGCATGATTCAGGCTGAAACAAAGAGTGAAGAAGGGCCTCACTGGTCACTTTCCCACCCCGGGACCAACATAAGGGAAGAAGGAACACAGAGGGGAGAATGCTAGGGCTCATAGTCTGAGTGAATTCAGCCCATAATAGCGGGAACGTGACTGGAGCATCTGGACTTCAGCTTACGGGAGGACATTGCTTACATTCCAAGTGGGTCTTCCCTAGTAAGCCTTTCTTAATCTTCTCTGGGGATTCTGGAATTGCTCTCCAGGCCACACTCAAAGACGTGCCTGAGAGAGCTGACACAACCAAGCTGATGACCAGAACTAAGCAGAACAAGAGTTAGGGATCCATGAACGTCAGGGCGAAGCATATACAGGACTGAGAACAGTTTGTGTCCAAATCAGCCACACTGGAGGAACCTCATAATGCACAAATGACACACAGGAGTCTGGAAAACCAGGGAAGGAGGAGAACGCTGAGTTGGTTGTGAAACTAAATTATTATTATTTTTATCACTACTCTAATAGAACTTTAAAAAGTTGAAGATTGACTCCAGGAAACTTGGTTTATGTTCTGGGAAAACATCTCCAACATCCTCTTACAAAAGTATACAAGCAAATTCTGTATTTGACAAGATTGAAAACCGAGATGGTTCATAGATGACCTAAAATCCGTATGCAAAGAGACAGGAAATAGGATTAAAAACCAGTAAATAGAAACAGAGTGGGAGACGTCATCATTATCAAACGAGGAAGTTAGGACAGCTTTACAGATGTGCTCCACAGAGTCACGAAGGTAAGGAGGGGTCTGGGCACTACGGGAGCAGGTGAAAATGGTCATCGTGAGAGGAAGGTGGTGCCCTCTGAAAAGATAACATACTGAGTTCGGTTATCATCAGATCGGCTGCTGCCAAACTCTAATCAGAGAGATGACACAGCAATTAGAACGACGGAGATGGAATAATGAAGAAGAAAGTGATCTTAGAGGCTGTTAGATAGAACAAGCAGGGCAGCATGTGAGCTGACTGAACTCTCAGGAGCGGAGATTACTATTGGAGGGACAAGGACTAATAGTAGGCTGGAGAGCTGGCTCCCTGGTCAAGAGCACTGGATGCTCTTCTAGAGGACCCGGGATGGATTCCCAGCAACCACGTGCTATCTCACAACAGTTCATAACTAGTTCCATGGAACCCAACATCTTCTTTTTGGATTCAGTGTGCACCAGGCACACAAGTGGTGCCCAGATACAAATACAGGTGGAACACCCATACACATGAGTAATGTAACCAGCAAAATAATTTAACTAAGCCAGGCAGTGGTTGCCTACACCTTGAATCCCAGCACTCAAGAGGCAGAGGCAGGTAGTTCTATATGAGTTTGAGGCCAGCCTGGTCTACAGAGTGAGTTCCAGGACAGCGAAGGCTACACAGAGAAAACTTGTCTAAAAAAACAAAAAGCAAAACAAAACAAAATCCAAAATCACACAACTACAAAAAGTTAAGTAGTAGTAACTGAAAAAAATCATCACTGAAAGGAAAATTCAAATTGTAAACATTCAGATCTAAAAAAACACAAAAGACTCCAGCAATAAAACATTTGAAGATACTAATAACATAATTATTAAAATCAAATTGATGAAAGACAGTGATAAGAAAAAAATGTAAAAGATGCCAAGGGAGCAGAGGTACCCATTACCTACAGAGAAGCAAGCAGGGGATGAGGAGCAGCCACCCGTTCTGCACAGCTGGGCAGACCACAGGACACTGGAGTGACATTTTATTTCAATTATTAGAAGAAAAATGGCTTAGAATGCAAGGTAACGTACTTTTCATCACTGTCTGGGTCTCAGTGGCAAAGCAAGCCTGAGAGGACCACAGACACCCTGAGACCCTGGGCCTCACTTAGATGAGCAAGTAAGGAGTGGAGAGATGGAAGAGGAAGAGACAGAGAAGGATGTATACACCATGAAGAGAGGAGGAACTGGAGACTCCGGGGTAGTTGGAACAGCCTGTGCCACCAAAGGCTATTCATTGTGAGGCGCTGGCCCGTGCTACCTCCGAGTGTTGTGTCTGGGTCCTTGTCCCTGCAGAAAAGACCAGGTAGATGTCCCTAGTCTTGATTACTACCTAGGGTCATATTGATATCTGAGCACTCTGCAGTGCTGACCCCCACCCCTTGCCTGGACATTGTGGGTTAGTTAGCCTCAAAGGCATGATCGTGGGAGAGCTGGCCCTGTCACTTCTCTGTCAGTGGTGTGGGCTAGGAAGAGATGCCCTTCCCCCATTCTTCACACTTTCAAGTTGCTAAACTCACTCTCTCTGTTTATGAAATCTAGGACCTCAACCCAGGGGAATGGTGCAGCCCATTTAAAGGCTACGACTTCCCATATCAGTTCAGGAGACCAAGACGATCCCCACAGATGTGCCCAGAGATCAACTTGATCTAGCCAATCCATCACTGAGATTCTGTGAGGGGGTGATGATTTCAGGTTTTAGCAAATTGAAAATTAAAACTAGCCATCACGCTGCCCATGCTCAGATCTGGGAGGTCCAGCTTGTATTCAGAGAGGGCTCCAGATAGCTCACTTGCTTTGACTACCAGATGGGTAAGCCAGACTCCTTGACGTCTGCTTGAAACAAAGTGTCCAAGTCTCCAGATTTTCATTTTACATCTTTTTCCAGTCTTAAGAAAGTATACATATTTTATGCTAAAATAATAACTTGACTTAAATTCACTTCACTGAAAATAACTGGTTATTCTATGAGGAAGCTGTGTGTGTGTGTGTGTGTGTGTGTGTGTGTGTGTGTGTGTGTGTCTGTTATGGGACACTCACTCATATATGATGGTTTGGAGGCCAAAGTTGATGGCAGATATCTTCTATTGCATCCACGTATTTTTTGAGACAGGATTTCTCTCTGTGATGGTTTGTGTATGGTTGGTCCAGGGAGTGGCTCTGTTGGGAGTTGTGGCCTTGTTGGAGTAGATGTGTCACTGTCCAGTGTCGGTGTGGTCTTTAAGACTCTCATCCTAGCTCCTTGGAAGCCAGTATTTTGTTAGCAGCCTACAGATGAAGATGTAGAACTCTCAGCTTCTCATGCCTCATGCCTGCCTGGATGCTGTCATGTTCCCATCTTGATGACAATGGACTGAACCTTTGAGCCTGTAAGCCAGCCACAATTAAATGTTGTCCTTATATGAGTTGCCTTGGTCATGGTGTCTGTTCACAGCAGTAAAATAAAACCCTAACTAAGACAGTCACCAAATGTGGAGCTCTCCATTTTAGTTGCAGCCGCTGAACAGTGGGTCACTGTAATTCTCTGGTCTCCATTTCTTAATACTGGCGTCCCACAGGCTATGATGGTTTGAATGAGGTCATCCCCCCACAGGCTCATAT